AAGAGAACTCCTTACAGGTTCTACGAGGTTGCATGTGTTAGAGAAACAAGTTCGAAAAAATTGCGACCACATTATTTTGTAGCGTCTAAGCGGTGTGTGAGTGTACTCAGAGCCCTGTACTCGTCAAGCCAGATTTCTTGTTGTAAGGCGAAGGCAGAAGACACCATACTGAGAGACCAGGGCCTTGGGCAAGGACGCCAGACATAGCCATGATGGCTGTCAGCAACAACTTTCCTATAGATATGACTGCCTAAAAGCCAAGTGTCGAATAGAATGCGGAGGGTCTGTTATTTTGTCACACCGACAGCGGGTGTTCAGTGATGACTGTGTAATTACATGTCGGTCGATGAAGAAAAAGACCTAATCAGCTGGACGCATGATGGTTATTACTGTCATTCCTACATTTGTCCATTTCCGTACACAAAGTCCGGACTACAAATGCAAACGTTAATCGGAAATCTCCGTAAGAACAATGCTGCGGCATTGTTGACATCCTTCGGAAGTAAACCAAAGCCTGGTTATAGTGTCATAGGATAGTCTTCCATGCTTACCTTCAAACCCCAGTGTCGCGTAATTTGAAGGAAAGCCGGAGTCAGAAGTCCAAACAGAATCTTTTAGCTTCGAATGCGTTAGGACAACAAAAGATTTCCTAGCCGTTCGTTCAGAAGTAAAAACAGAAGGTTTACAGCTTTGTGGGTCGATAGTTCACGACAGAAGCACATTAACTCCTTTTAACTTGCAACACCTACCTTGCAATTAGACATTCGACTAGAACGACGATCGGTTCTACCGTCGCCCGTATTCCTCCCACTCCAGAGTAACGGAGCTCAGGGATCGGCTACGAATGATTTCTAGACTAGAACAAAAGGCCCGTAGGAACTTTCAGGTGCACATTTTCACTTGCTGGCGGTGTCCGAAATTAAGTTTTTTGTTGCAGAGGGACTCTAGTGGAAGAAAAAGCACCCTTACATGTCGCTGAAGACGGATCGTTGGGTACAGTCTAACTCACTATTATGCGGGCACGTGCACTTTGTTAAAAGTGTCCGCAGTTCTGGGTTAGGTGGTTCGCTTCTTTGTATGAGTGAGTTACATATGGCAGCCGGGGTTAACCCCAAAATAGCTAAACATGGTGTAAAAGGATAGGAACAAACAGCTTTCGTCGTTGCTGGCACTTGCATCCTTGTGTCGCCACCTGAAGTCGGAAGAAAACACCACTCCTTTTTCGAGTATAAATTTTAACTGAAGGCTCATTCGCAACCATTATTCGGTACTCCAACTTTCTTCCATATAGAATATCCTACACTTGCTGAATAGCCTACTATAACCGATCCTTTGACTAGTAGGTTTAACTGCCGCGATTTCCAGCCAGCATAGTAATTCCCATAGACGCTTAAGTAGTTTGGATCAGAACTCAAAGATGGTTGGGTCGTTGTACGAACTTGGTTGCTCACTTGCCACACATTCGTTCCCTTGGCTGCAAATATACTCAGTCATATTGCGGAACTAAGCATTACATGTTGATCGCTGTGTTGATTTATAGATGACATCGGTTGAGTAGAAAGTACACGAGTGTGTGACCTAACAATCTGTCTTCTTTGCTTAGGCCCAAACTTTAGTTTCCCACTCCAAAAAAATCCCTCCGAATCATCATGCTGTCACCCACACACGGTCGTCTACCACAACTCTCATTTTTATGTTATTCATGTTCGTAACGGTTTAATTCATCCGACCAATTTAATTGCAGCTGAGGTACACTTCAGCCCAATGTACTCTTAACCTCATCCTGCGTTTAGTCGATAGCCGTATCCGTTGGGGCTTCCGATCCGACACTTTGACCGTAGACTCCGAAGATGTTCATCGTGTGCTACACAGCAAGGTGCAGTGGGCATGGTGACTTGCGCGTGAATATGTTTATAGTGATAGTTGACTTGCGCAGCATCTATCGCACACTCTCTTCCCCACTCTCCACCTGGCCCCGGTGTCAAGACAAAGTCAAAAAGACCGAAGGCGGGTAAGGGCGCAGGTGCCTGGCACGGCCGGACCCGCACCTAGGTGTGCCACGGCACCCCCTGGTCTACAACATACACTTGACCAACAACAACACCCTAACAGGGGTCAGAAGGACGAGGATGATGACTGGGCAGCCATGCCCACCACTTGCATACCCAGCAGGAGCGCAAGCGTATCTACCGGCAGGGAACCAGGTGTCAGGGAACTGCCAGCGCATACCAGTCAGCGAGGGCCATGGTTTGCTGATACTGGCATAGCACACACTTTCAGGCCTTTTGACCTAGAAGGGCGACACGTGGCTCTGCATTTAGCTTGAGTCGTCACCCTTCAAGGGTAGGTAACCAAGCAGTCATCGAACGAGAGGTACTAACCATAAAGTGCCCACTCTCCTCAGATACATGAGAGTGTCACAGATTGAATGAGAAGGGCAATGAAAGCTGGCTGTCAGCCCTCCAGTCCTCCACCCACACAACACGCACAAATGGACAGACTGCGTGGACTGAGTTGGGGCGTCAGTCGGCAGCCTACCGAGCCACGGCGCTCGACGCACCGTCTTCATCTCAGACTTAGAGCACACATGCAGTAAGGGAGCCGCATGGAGAAGGCGCTGAGACGCGAACTTCCCACTTGCGTAGGAGATGGCAGTTGGGTGCTTGCGGTGGGTGACGTTGATGTGCGGTGAGATGCTGGTGAGGGAGGATGCGATGGTGTGGTGCAGCCGGCGGTTGTCTACCGCAGGCTTTCCTGGAAACGCATGTGGCCTTATAGACCCATGCGGTGAATAAACGTGCGAGTACGATGTGGACAGTGAAGGCGGATGCGGCGAGTGTAGGTTGGTGTTCCAGACACTGGTTCACCAGTCTCTGTGCGATTCACAAGTGGCCGAGCAGGCCGATCTGTGGGGTGAAGGTACGGGAGCGTGGACAAGAGAAGTCGGCGATGCAGCGTATCCTGCCCGGGCCGTCAGGACATCATGCCACAAACGCGTGACAAACGAACGATCAAGGTCATGGCCCCCTGTTCACACCGTCTTTGTGCTGATTGGCCACCCATCAGCCTATGACAGTCCCCCTTGCCATATACCCGGCCGTTTCCACAAGCCTCCTCACTTGTGCTGTCTATCGTACTCAGTACACGTCCTATTTCCAATTAGCCTTCTGTTTTGCATACATAACAGGCGATGTCAGTATAAGCTTCGGTGATGGAGATGGTGGAGCTGGTAGTGGTGAGCGCTCTGGCCAACCAGGTGTGTCGGTTGGGCTGAGCATGGTGGGTGTTCATGATGCACTGGATGTGATGGAGCTGGTGGCGGTGGGCGCGCTGGGTGGCGGTGTGGGCCGGGCTAGGCACGGGAGGTGGGGTGGATGTGACGGGGCCGCGGTCAATTCCGCTCTTATGAATACGCATTTAGCCGAATAGGCCCATTCAGTGAGTGAATGTGTCAGGGTAGTGTGGACAGTGGAGGCGAATGCGACGAGTGTAGGTGGTGTTTCGGATGCTGGTTTGCCAGTCTCTGTGCGGTAGGTTCGCAAGTGACCGACCAGGCCAATGTGTAGGTTGAAGGTGTGATCGCAATAAGAACAGGTATAGACCAGGTGCTCATTACGGGTGTTGAAGGTGATGGTGTTGGTGTTTGTTGGTGTGACGGGATTGTGTGTATTGTTGATGGGCATGGCAGACGCCACTATGGCAGGCGTTGAGACGGTAGAGAAGGAGGAGAAGGATCGTAACGGTGGTTCGGGAGGGCGGTCAACGTTAGTTGACAGCGTGGGAGGCGAGGAAGAGGTGGACGAAGAGACGACGGTTGCCGCAGTCGGGGTGCTGCAGTTAGTCTAGAGGTTTCCAATAAGTCTATTTGGCGCCCGGAATGTCCGTTGACATCGTGGACACGTTGATAGCGATTGGGCGTTGATGTTGTGAGGCGGCGCGGCGGCATTTGAGATTTGCCTGTCTCGGGTTGGGCTTCTCGGCGTTGATGCGATTGGTTTCGAAGAGTGATGCGCCAGTCTTCAGTGTCCTCTTCCAGGTCAGTCCGTCTCGGACCAGGTCTTCCCAGTTGGCCGGGTTCAGTTGCAGGCGCCTCAAGGAGGTCTTCAGGGTGGCCAAGTTGCGACGGATTTGGCTTCATTGTCAGCAGGAACCCGTGGAGACATCTCCACAGAATAGTCGTTTGGGTAACCTCTCGTCGTCCATGCGCCGTAGGTGGCCGCTCCAGTACAATTGCAGCTGCCCCAGCATAGGTTAGATGCTGAGGATTCCCGTCCGTTCCAGTACATCACTGTCGGGGATTCGGTCCTGCCACCCCAGCTTCTGTATCCGTCGGAGACAGCTTAGGTGGAAGTGGTTAAGTCCACGTGCCAAATTCATGTACACCGTCCAGGTCTCTGCTCCATACAGCAACGTTGGTAAGAGGACGGCCACGCGCATCTTCAGATTCGCGCTGAGTTGAAGACCGTGACGATTCCAAACTGTGTTTTGAAGACGAACGAAGTCTTGGATGATCTTGGAAATCCTGGGGAAAACCTTGTCGTCGACATTAGTACTGCAGGACAGGGTGCCGCCCGGATAGGTGAAGTTGTCCACCACTTGCAGTTGGGTTCCGTTCACGTTTATTTGGCGCGAGACGTAGGCAGCGACGGGCGGATGTTGATGCGTAACCACCGTCTTTGTGGATCTCAGCAGGGATCGTGTCCGATCCGAACGCTTCCCACTGGAGATCTGCTGCACGGCACTGATGGTTTCGTGGAGAGAGCGCGGGAAATCGAGGTAGGCGTAGATCTCCACTTAAGGAAGACGGGCGATGGTGACCTCGGCGATGTTGGAGGGGCGGTTGAGGACGTCTCTGAAGTGCTCAGCCCATCGCTGAAGCATTTGTAACATCTCAGTGAGTAGGGTACTGCCATCGACGCTGAGAAGAGGAGCAATCACTATGGCGGGGACCGTAGACAGCCTTGAGGGCGGCGAAGAAGTTCTTCCATTCGTTGCAATCTGCGTACCCTTGGATCTCCTCGGCCTTATGAGCCATCCAGCTGTCCTGTATCTCCCGCAGTCGCTGTTGACCAAGGAGGCGACTACGTTAGAAGGCTGCTTTGTTTTCATCAGTAAGGCGGTCTACGTAGGCTTGGTGCAATCGGTTCCCCTCGGCGAACAGGTTGCCGATGGCGGCGGCGTCGTTGTCCCCAAACCATTCCGAGTGTTGGCGACGTGCGCGACCCAGGACAGCCAGGGCCGTTGACTGGACTGTGCTGCGCAGTCGACACCATCGGTTCTCCACGGGGGCGTTCTCGTCGGCGGCGGTGGCGACGACTGGAATGTTAGCTGGCCGTTGAGCTAGCTCAATGCCGAAATGGAGATGGTGAGCAGGCAAAAACAACAAGGCAATATTCAGTTTATTTGGGGTCGATTACCTTGTGGTCTCCTGCGAGGCTGTAGGCGAATACGCATCTGCGAGATGACGAGGCGATGGTCGGTCCACCCGTCAGCACCCGCGATCGTCTTTGTCACCAGCACGTTCCGCTGATCTCGCCTCCGGATGAGGACATAGTCCAGCAGGTGCCACTGACGCGACCGAGGGTGCATCCAGGTGGTCTTCTCTCGCATCGGGAGGCGGAAGTAGGTGTTGGTCAGAATGAGCCTTTGTTGTGCGCAGGTTCGCAGGAGATGCAGGCCATTGTCGTTGGAGCCGTTGAGACAATAGGGACTCAGCACTCCTCTCCAGGCATCGTGGTATGTGCCGACGCGGGCGTTGAAGTCACCAAAGACAATCAACTTGTCCGCCTTGGGCATAGTTGGCAGGAGGACGTGTAGGTCCTCGTAGAATTTGTCCCTTACGGCGTCAGTGCTGGTTACGAAGGGGAGCGTAGACGTCAACGATGGTGGAGAATTTGTCTCCCCGGAGAGGCAGGCGGAAGCTCAGCAGTTGATCGTTGGTATTCAGCGGCGGACAGGGTAGTGGTTTCACGATGTCATTCCGGATGGCAAAGGCGACGCCCGCCTCCGTCGCTCTGCCTTGGGGCGGCCGCTCCAGAAGAAGGTGTAGCCGGCACCCACCTCCTCCAGTTGACCTTTTTCGGACAACCGGGTCTCGCTGAGTGTAACGATATCCACCTTGTAGTACGCCTGTTCCCGAGCCACTAGCTCGTCCTCCATCCCGGTCGGCTGCTCCTCAGCTTGTCCGAAAGGGAGCGAACATTTCATGCTGCCAGACTGAGCGGACTCACGTAACCAGTCTGACGAGTTGGGCGGCGGGAAGGGGCAGCGGGAAGAGAGAGAGAGTGTTGTTTCTTATTTGCGTCTGCGACCATGGTCAGTCTGCCGACAGCGTGGTTCCCCAGCATTTGTTTAGGGCATCTTTTCTAGCCCTTTTCTCCCTCGCATGGGTGAGCAATGCTTTTCCTCAATAGGGCTGCTCATTTGTCTCAGACGGTTGCCGAAGTTTACTATGGGCCACGGCTTTTGTTTAGTGAGAAAGCTACTCGATTTAGCCTGGGCCGCTTACAACATCGCCGTAAGCTAACAGGGGGAATCGGGGAAGGGTTGAAAACTGGGATGCAGGACTTTCCCGTCATTCTCTAGGTTAACTGGTTGCTGAATTATGAGTGGTGGCAGACCCAATCATCAGAACGGCGTTTGGTTTACGGTAATTGCAGACACGAACAAGCAGGCAAGAACAGCAGAAGGCAAAGGCAACAGAGGAAATTCTACAGAGTGGCATTTAGCTTTCAACAAGAACAAACACAAAAAAGCGGACCGAGAGCAAACAAACAGGAACAATCGAAAGCAAAGGCAGCAGAGCAATGCTCGCTTACCTGGGGGCTCACTTACCTTGTGGCCTCCAGTGGTGTTGCAGAGGGGGTCTCGTATCGGAGATGTCAATGCGGTGATCCATCGGGCAGCGGAGTCCACATTACGTGTGCGCAGACGCACGCACGGATACCCTCACCTGGTTTAACACATCGGTTAAGGCGGTTGCCGGGTTGTGGCCGCTAAGCAGAGCCTAGTTTCGGGGAGCCACTTGTGAGAGTTGGGTGATAACAAATGGACGCTAGGCGTAGCCTACACCTGCAAGCAAGCGAGCGACCTATTACGTCCGTCACGTGAACCCACCATTCGACACCCCACACACCCCTGAGGCTACCGAAAAGCGAATATTGGTGCACTGTACCTGATGGTCTAGATTGCAACCTTGCGCAAAGTCCGCTTCATAGTACGTATGCAGCTGCGCATAGATATACCGCGTAGTGTTGCGCACTTTGCCAGCGCTATGTGGCTGCTCAATCCTTCGGTTTATCAATTCGAAAGCTGCACTGTACTTATTTGCCATGGTTTTCAATCTGTCTTGAAGACGTTTGATTTCTTCACTGCTGAAACGGCTTGCATGTGATGCCAAATTGTGGCCTCATTCAGAGCCAGTCACTTGCTCACGTTCAGACGTGTTTAAAAGGTCAACAAAGTCGCTAACATTCGTTGATCTTCCAAATTCTATTTGCTGCTCACCTCATTAACATCACTCTACAGATCGCTGGTGACAACCACTTAGATGTGAACAGAAGTCAACCTTCCAACTGTCTCACACTCCCAGCTGAATAGCGAATTGACACTATCAGAGTAGGCGGTCTTGTAGCGGGCAACAATCATTTTTGGCTTTTCTTTCTGATAGAGCATTAAACCGTCTAATGGTAAAACCTTGTTCCTACTGGAACTTGTTAATTTCTAGTTTCTGTGCAAAAAAGCCCCGTTAAATTTTTACCAAAAAACAGAACTGTGGAACAAACTGTATGAGATCGAGTTTGAAGCAGAAAATGCGGCATGCTAGCACGGAACGACAGGCAATTTAAAAAAAAGAAGTAAATGGTGCGGTAACTTTACTCCCAGCGTCCTCTTACGCGGTGTTTCCCTCTGGCCTATGTCCGCGGGTGCGCACAGACTTCAGTTCGCCCATCTATCACTGTGAGATTCTGAATGATTTCCAACCAATCACAGCCATACATACAGATCAATAGGCCGCAAGGTCAATGAGGATATGCTCAGGCTTGCCTGAAAATCTTAAAAGCTCAGCAATAGTTCCAACTCTAGTCACGGCTGGCGACGTTCCCATGCATCCTCCTCTAAATAGTTTTCATGTCCATTCTGTCAAAAAAACTGGCGTCTGTCTTCTGCTCCTCTCACAAGGAACTTGGCCTGAGAGTCATAGAAATTGAGTTATATTTGTGACTTTAGGTTATGTATGCTGAGGAAACAGCCAAGACCCATCAGGAACAAAGGGAGGGAAGAGGTGGCCACAGAAGAGGAAAATTTAATGTCGGAACAAGCGCAGCTCTAGTCCTTGGCATTTTGACCCGAAGATGGTGCGTTGACTAAATAAAAGCAAAATGAGGGCAATGTAGTCAAGAGGTCTGGCTTGTGACTAGATGGTTTTGGGGGTGTAAATTCCAGCGAAACTTGTACGCTAACTACTATAGTGTAAAATGCAGTTGTTAGCCATCTCCATTGGAGAGTAGTAAGCTTCCAGTGATTTTGTCTATTACAAGAGACAGAAAACAAACAACAGATGTATGTTTCCAGAAATGCGGCGATCGAAACGTGTTTGTTTAACACCTACTAGTATTGAAATTTTGCCCAGACCTCATTCGTAAGTTGGTCGGTTATTTATTCACATTCCCCTCCCCCTTCCTCCGACAAGGACTGGCTGCGGGGAACTTCTGTTCAGCAGCGTTGTTGATCCATCAGTTGGATCTCATCCGAGAAGCATCCGTGCCAGTGCACATGCACGTCATCGAGTCACACTAGTTGGGGGATTCAAGTCACTCTCCCCCGGCCCGTAAACTGCTATTTTACGCTTTCCCTCACTTAATTCGTTGGATGTTTAGGTTCAACAAACGTTTTTTGAACAATGGAAAAGTCTCTGTTGATGTGACATGATGTTCGAAAGCAACGGGGACCGTAGTCACTGCTGTTTATTGCATCGCTGGATTATATGTTCGCAGCTCGGCATCTCCCGCCCTTACTGACTCGGAGTCTTGTTATAACACACTAGTATGGACTGGATGCTTTTAGCTCCAAAGCCATAAATTTCGCCCGGTGAAGTTGCGAACTGGCCAGTGTGTTGTACGTAGGTTGGTCCTTATGGAAAGGCTATTTAAACAGCTCGAAATCTGTCTGATTAATCACAACAATAAGACTAAGTCTCGAGCGTTCCAAAATCTTAAGTAGATGTGGTTAATATCTGGAGAATACTAACCATAACCGCTATAGGATCCCAGTTCATGCAGTATTAAGGTCAACTATAAGAGCAGCTGACCAGCGACGTCCATCCAGTGCATGCATCACAGGGTTTCTTGATGTATCGTGGCTCTTAGTGATAGAATAGTGTTTTTATGACATTCCCCGCACCAAACCTATCTATATGGCCTGGTGAAACATATAAGGAAAGATACACCCCTGTGGAGTACTTCGAAAATGCCAAAACCTTAACAACATGTACTGGGGAAGAAGAAACAGCGCGAAAAGCAAAACGAGATATGACTAGTATGCATATCCCAAATTACAGTTTCATAATGTTGGGAGGTACGGAGGTAGGAAGTGTTCTGGTCTGTCAAGCTAGCGTTTTAACATAATCAAAAAGTGTCAAGCGTGTGATGGAGAACTTGCGTCGTCTACAGCGTTTTCTGAGTATAGTGAATTTCTACCACCGACTTATCCTAAAATTATAATTCTGCCGCCCGCGGACTATGTTTCCGGTTGCAAAATTTCATTCGAGCGCTCCGCAGAAATCCTCGCTGTTAGATCGCAGTTGGTAGCCAGGAATGGGGAGGCGGACAGCCAGGTCCCTGTCGTACGAGAATGGTGGGGAAGGGGTTATATAGGTGGGATAAATGGAAGGGCTGGTAGAGGAATACTGGAGTTTCTCGGTAAAAGTAAAGTTACCAGGGAAAGTTCTGGGAAGTCTTAAGTAGGTAGAATAATGGCGGAAATTTAAACCATACGCTTAACCCTAAAATCCAACCCTGACGACAACCGTAAAGCCTAAACCTAAACCTCAAAACCGAAACGTAACCAAAATCCTAAAGCCCCACGCTAACCCAAAACCTCACCATAACCCTAACCCTAACCTTAACCCTAACGGGAACTTAAACCCTAACCCTAACACTGGAACATGATCCTCAAACGAAAACCCTAGTCCTAAAACTTAGCATACGCCTAACCCTAGCCCTCATTAAACCCAACAGCCTAAACGAAATGGGCGACCTGCCTAACTCAGTAAGAGCACACCTACTGATAACAAGTTCCCTAGATAAGGTAAGCACACTTACTGGTAACAAGTACGTACGTCGACATCATCAACGTATAATGTCTGGCTACCAACTGCGATCGTACCATCCTTGCTACTTTTGACATGGTGAAGGCTCTCTTGACCGACGCCACCTCCTTGAATCACGTCGCTCCCGGCACACCTAACTTTCTCATGTCAGACACCGCAAAATTTGCAGCCGGCGCCATCCTTCAAAAGTATCCCACAGGCCAGAACCATCCCCTTTCGGATAATTATTACTTGCCGACCCGTACTACAACAGTTTTAGGCGGGCAGTTCTGGTCGTCTATCTACCCGTGAAGCGCCTTTGACACTTTCTTGAGGGCGGCGACTTCGCCATCTTTACGAAAAACACACCCCCTTCCTTCGCCCCACAGTTCCACTTCGGCCAATTCACTCATTCGGGAGTTTCGTTAACTAAACTGTACATCCCATTTCACCACGCATATTCGTCGTATCGGCAGGTCACAGAAGGAGGTGTCTGATGTGCTCAACAGACACTCTATTGCATAGCTTTAACTATCCTCCGAATTTACCCCGCCACCATGTCTACTGAGCAACGGCGAGTTGGTTGTATTTACAGCATGGCAGCTAGTGGCCTTCAGATTCTGAACGTTTCCCTGACCACCGGTGTCAGCACAATCTTTTGAGACACTTCTTATCCTTCTCACCGTTTCTATGTGTCCGCCTCGATGCATCAGAGTTGATATCCATCTTTTCATAGGCTGTTCCTGAATCCGAGCCTTACAAACTTGTTGTAGAAAGGACCGTCTAGGCTGGCTCGAATTAGAAAGTTGAAGCTTGCCAATAGGAGCGAAGCGGCAAGTCCCAGGAAGCCGTCGTGATAAGGAGGCACGGTCGATGGGACAAGAGCTTTATTCGCCTG